ACGAGCTGCTCTTTACTCGGAAATACTGATATATAGTATACCGCTACACGACTATGTTAAAGTGACCTACTTGGCAAGATTCTACATTGGGTCGTCTGCTGTCGAATCAACTACTCCAATAAGTGCTCGGAAAATCCTGCCCTATATTAGAGAACGCGCTCGCTGGGGCGTTTAGCCGTCCAACAGGTGTTTGAAGGTCAGCCTGTTTGACACTTTGCCACATGTGGGTAACTGCCGTCATACAGGGTAAAACGAACCTATTCTCCCATTGGCTTCCAGATTATGCGGTTACTGCTTCAAATGTAGACGTTTTTTTTTCACAACTATAAATTGAGTATTTAATTGTATGCTTGAGTTTTCTCTATTGTAAACCTGGCTTTTCTTTATCCTGCATAAAATGCCGGAACAATTGCCAATATATAGGCTATGAAAAATTATGTGGGCTATATGTTAGTCGATTTTGTGTCTCCTCGCAACCGCACTCGTGAATATCTATTATGGGTTGGAAAACTTATAGTTTATCTATAGTAAAAACATAATTTGACAGGGTCAAGGATTTGTTATCTCTGCTTCTTTACTAGATATGGAAATGATTAGATCCACGGTCCAGATTTAATTTTTAGCTACCATGTACCCCTGGGTTGGTTTCAAAATCTAATAATAGGAAATTTTCATTAAATATATGTTCCTCGACGTATGTTCTATAGCAGCTATTTTTGAACATAAATCTATTTCAGGCTTCATTATCTCGGAGCATCTGTCGACACGTGTATAATGTTTGTGAATTGTAAACATAAACATCAATCAATCACCATGTTCCATTTCTGCTCTATAGACAGCTCTGGTGTTTTTCGCAGCTACCAGCCTCGAAGATCTATCTTCGTCTTTTCTTTTTTGCTTATTTTGAGCGTGGACGGCTGCTTAATACGAACTTCGGCCAAAACGATCGATGCTGAACTTGGTCATTTGGAGACAATTTTTTTTACGAAACCGAGGAGTTTTTAGGCGAGTCGATACAGATATCACCAATACAACCTCTGTCACTTTTGGTTGTTGCCAGAAAAAAGAACTAGGAATATTACTTTTGTACTCGTATGGTTAGTGAAAAGTACAAATTAAAATAATTACATTTTCAAATAAATACTGCATGATCCATTTACAGCACGTGTCTCCTTACGGACTATTGCCATGATCGATATCCGAAAATGCACAAATTTTGAGATATCTTTAGTGAACATGGAAATGATCAACCATATGGGTCCATCAAAGGTGGACACGTCCGTATTTTAGGATCCATTACAAATAATCAATTAATCAGGTCAGAGCCTACGTGTCTATATACCCAGCCCAAGACGGCGCGAGTTTCAGCTCTTATAATCGATATGTAACGACTGCGTGTTCCTTATTGTAACGTTCATATTTTATAGAATTAAGGCCAGACGTGTTCCGCGAACAATAACTAAATCAATTAGGCAATGTCTACTTTTTTTTTTATACGAATCGTTATCTTTTATATTCTGTCGAGCCTCGCCTTCTGAACTACGACGCGATCATATCTGATACAAGAAGGTTTTCCTCATTCTAGGTAGATGCTACTACTATATATGCGAAACATAATAAAACGGGTCTGTGTACCCTGACCTCTGAAGTCAGCTAAAAAAAGTGTCCAAAGAAAGACCCACAAACCAAAAAATCTCACAGATCTTTGGCTTAGTTATCAAAAGCTATGTTTTCTAGCGACTTTTTGAACACTCTACAGAGGCAAGTAACTCATCAGGTGCGAAGCATCAGGCATGTCAGACAGAGCCGCGAAAAGATCTCTACAATGTGCTTGCGGGTTAACCTATCTAGCATACTGGGATAGATATATCGAAATTCTCCGTGCAGAATAACACAACACCAACTGGCCGTTCGCCGAAATCATGAATTCATCAACTTTGTCATGAGATCTTCATCGTGTCTGGCTAGACCCGTCTGACTCCAGTCAAAAACGATCATGTACTTTCTTAATATCAATCGTGAACCGTCCTGTACTGGCAGGTCAGCGTTAATCCGGGCCGGCTTTCGGCCCTAACTAGTTACTGCAGGATGCGCAACAAGGGAAGGACGCGCGAACGACCCTGTCGAATGTCGCCAATCTGATTTCATTGCCGCCATATCGCTTCCGTACACGTCAGCTGCAGAGTTGGCTTCCTTGAAGTTCTGCCATGGTTGCTGTTCATGCCAATGAAGTTAGCAAGCCCCTGGTGTCGTGTAGTTGTCGTGTTTTCCAGCTATGTCCGCACTTTGGCAATCGTATGGTTGCTAGCTGACGACGCTAAACGTACGCTACCGCGAATTCTGTCGGGACAATAGTCGATGTCAACGAGCTGAGAAGATGTACACTTTAGAAAGTTTGTAAATTTGCCTGTTGTATGGATTGACTTCCAGCACATATCTATCTCAGCTTCTCCAGATCGGACACTCTTCCTTTTTAAGATATTATTGGGTTATCCGTCACGAACAAGCATATTCATTTCGGGCGGACGTTTCCCTTATATCTCAGTCGTACCTCATTCCACCGCAGCCAGCGGACATGAGACGCACCACTGCGGTGCTCCACAGCGTTTTTTTTCAAAAAGAGATCTCGACAAATGTTCCATATATGGAACACCGTGCGAGAAAATTACTTTTTTCTAAAGACCATATGGTGTATTTTATGGCTAGGTGTTGCTTTGAACTCTGCGACTTGCCCTAGCACTGACCATCCGCTACCCGTCAAGGGATTAGCGTATTGCAAAAATATTCAAAATTCTGGACAATTCACTTGCTTTGCCAAAATAATAAGGACAGTGCTAGGCTGAGATGCTGTTAATTGGACTGCAGTTATTTCGTCAAGGTTCTTTGAACGGCATTGATCCGGCCACCCAACGGCCGGCCAATGGCAAACGTCTCGAACACATATAAATTGTATAAATAGCGAACGTCTACTCGGACTACGCGTTGTATCGGTTATCGATTACCTGACCCTACTATGAAACTATAATGGAATTTTTACTATCAATTGGTATTTGTGTTTAGCAGTTTTACCCATTATTATTAGATCTCTATTGACAGTGGTGCTTTGACACTGGTAAAAGCACTAATGCTGTTTTTTGATTTAGCCAGTGAATGCGTCATATTTCCCAGTAACGAGAAGTTTCTGTTTCTCTGATCATTTTCTACTGGCTACCAATGTTGTTCCGTAATCACCTATCTTGCAAGATTATTGATAATCTTTTGCCGACCATATACACGCGACGTAAGCCGCTAGTATGAGAAGCTATCGTCGATCGACCAACAAACGTTTATGTGAAAACCATCTGAAAACCGCCACTGCCATTCGCCGGCACAGTCATGATATATTTACAACGTTAGTGTCTCTTCCTTTATGGTAAGTAGCTGGGGCCGTTCCAGCGGACCAATCCAGGCTCCCTGTTTGAGGCAAAACGTGTTTTTGGCTACGAGTCATCTGTCGTGGTCATCACCAGAGAAGTTTCGTTTGAAAAAAGGATGGTGGAACGGTGCTGGCTTTTCTTTCCGTTAGATACCCTTGGTTTGTTAGCGCTTCGGTGGGCGTTCAGCACGCCGTTTTCGCTATAGATATATCTACGTGCGTAATTTCTGAAACCGGAAGTACCGGTGGCGCGCCACGTGTGCAACTACGACGCTGCTGATGACTTTGAAGATCACAGCCTGTGCTCGGTGAAAACGAAAATAGAAGACGCGATTACCAAATTGCTGGGGCATACACATGGATAATTTTCACATGAGCACGTCCCGGGATCTCAGTACCAGATACCGACTCCATCCTCAGCATCCTAATGGGCTATACAAAAGTAGGTGACGGGACGCTGCTGTATTAACTGGTTTAAGTTAAGAATGGCCGCCATTACTTTCCAATAGCAAAGTCTGCATCTGAACCAACTGCCCACTTCCATGGGATAATATAGTAATGTTTACTACAGATAATAGCGAACGACTCTCAGTTCTGCCGTCGACGGGAAAATCAAAAGTCTGTCTGGCTGTTGTGAGCAGACAGCCGGCGCAAGACAGGCAATGAAAAAATAGTGGGCGGCCAAAAAAAAAAGACGAAGCAATCGAGCAGACAATTTCTTCAAGTTCCTTTGAAGTCGGAAACTTGAACTGGTTTTCCCCTCCGTTTTACGTATTAACAGCGACAATATGTTAAATATGTAGTGGTAGATGGCACTTCCAACGAAACCGAATGCGAATTGAGGTATTTATGGCGCAAACGAAAAAGCGTAGACAAGATTTAGGATAGCTGGAGAACGAAGGAGATTCTAACGATATTCTTAACGAAGATAAACAAAGCAATGAAAAAACATCCGGATACAAAAATAAATGATGATAATGATAGCTACCCATGGTTGTCTTATATGGTCCAGATGAGCGATTGACAGCTATATAAAGGGGTTCGCCGCGAAGAAACATTTTGCGCCAAATTGGGATCGTCGTTCGTTAGCCTGCAGAAGACGTGTTTGTATGTGTGTTATGAAGATTATTTGTTTCTCTCTAAGCGGCTTTGGGCAGTAGCTGCGTTCATGGTTCACGGATTCCTCAGCCAGAGCATTACCTTTTAACCGTCGAGGAAAAAATTGAATTTTTAAGAAGTTTTGTTACCACTTTTGTCAGCGAATCTCTCAGCTGCCGACGAATGCAGAGCTTTCACTTGTTTGAAAGCTCGAACTACAGTGAAGCGCAGCTACTACGCCATTGAACATGGCTGGGTTTGACTACATGATTCATCGTCGAAAGGAAAAACGACGGGGACTGCCCTACGGTATGTAAATTTCGTAATACGGGGCGTGAACTAACAATAGCAAACTTTCCTCAGTTTTTAAAACCTTTGGGATGGCTAGAGTTTTTTTTATGACCATCTAACTTCCTTGCAGACAGTGTCCAATAGCTTTGTTCCAAAAGAACGATCGGACAATATCGATATGTAACAATGCGGCTTTCCTAGCTCCCTTTTCTACCTCATGAAGCACATAGGCGCATTGTGCAAAATATTGAAAGTAAACGTGAAAGTTCGGCAACAAACAAAAAAAATGTTTCCTGAAAAAAATTCTAAGTTCTCAAATGTATATCGAGAGCCAACCGCGTGTTCCGACCACAAAGGCTGACTAGACAAAACCAATGAACACGTAACGTTGCCGAGTAGTTAAGGATAAACGTGGATGTGGCATGATATTATGACAGAATAAACGAATCAGCAACATTTACAGTATTATCAAGTTGAACCTTTGGATTGCTTTTACAGACAAACCGAGCGTCCAGATAATGTTTAGTTCTTAAGGAAGGGATGCAGAAGCCTGTTGGACTACATTGAAGTTTCACTCTTACTGTGTTCGCTCTAGCCGCTGATGTTGGCTAATAAAGTTCATTATGATCTAATTAGTATGGAAAAGTCAGGGCGTGCATTTCACAGACAAACAGGTATATGTGTACAATATATGTGGCAAAGGGTCGTCTCAGGAGTGTCCGATTCGATCATGGATGCTCCAAGGCATTGCTTGACCATAACGCATACGGATGTCATACAGTTGTCACAGTAGCTTTTTGGGTTGATATCAATATATTTTTTTTTATAAATGCGAGAGATACAGAATAGGGATTATCAGCGGCTCCTAGACCAGATATGTCAGACATTCGTTAGAGTTATCCATAGTTATGGCATTTTTAACCTACACAGGTTTCAAATTTGACTACGGTATTGTAAAGCAAGACAATCCAGACCTTCCTGCCACATGAAAAATTAATAGATCCCTGGACATGGAAGTTGAGAAGAAACCCGGACTGATAATTGACGTAGTTTGTAAATATTCATTAACAGCGATCCGGGTTGACGCGGGTAAAACAACTAATTAAGAAAATGACCATTCTATAGATGTGGATGCGCTTGTAAAAGGCCGCTGCATGACATTTTCTTTGAGGGAACTTCTCTAACGGACTGCTATAATTACTAGCATAACTGTGTTATAATATCGTCATCGATTCAATGCATCTGTCTGAGGCAATGTTCATACGCCTCTAGAAAAAAATACGTCCCTTTTGCAAATAGAAAAACAAGTGACAGATCACAAACAAATTATATTTCGTTATTTCAACTGTTTCGGCAGCTTACGTTCCCTGGGCGTTTTGACAAAGCCCATTAACGGTGGCGTTGAGCATCCGGTGGATGTTCTCCCGCGACAAAGTCGATCTGAGATCGGGACTCAGACTGCTTTTTGATGCCATATCGATGTGATCTGTAGCCTGTCAAACATCAACGACGAAATATTAAAACACAAAAAAACATCTTACACAAAATGTAATCGTACCAATCGTGTAATATATGTTATGGTCATGCCCTATCTCGCACGATGCCGCCGATAATTAAACTTCATAAAACTAAATATTAAGAATCAATTTGATCCACGTTATCATCTCGATGGCAGCAGCGTATTCAATTAAGTTTAGTAAGTTAAATTGGCAGACTGTCCTTAAGTGCATATACTAACATTGTTCGGTGTAGACGTAACAGTAGACCAAGTTGAAACTAGAACGTATTTTTGCAGTAAACGCCTACGTAATAATAACGTGCGCAGGCTGTTCACGTATTATCCCGAGCCTGATCATTAATACGAGATCTACCATAGCTATCTGCGTTAATTACAAGCTTCATTTAAGCGTCTGTATTGGCACCGATTTGTGATAGCTCACTTCGTGATTGTTGATGTGAACCGTTGACGACGAATTAAACGCGTTCGGAAGCGACCTCTTGAAGCGATATCCCGGACCTGTAGCCGAACTGCTGCGTATCACAGGCATGAGCCCTAAAACAGTTGCGTGACCTCCGAAGCGTGCAACTTTCGGGAGATTGTTCTGCTGCTTCAGGAACGGCAAAGACCGGGACAGAAATTCGAGGGTTTTGTTTTTGATCAGCTCACTGAAAGGCATGTAAAAATACTTTTTTGTTTAGTTAGTTGTTAAGTTTTGTTTAGTTACAAAACTGTGACCGATCTATCAGATAGTGTTTGCTTTGTACAGAACGTTGTCGATTAGTCCTATCAGTGGTTAGTAGGATCAGTGTGGAAGAATTTGCCAGGGGAATTATTCCAGCTTTTGATAGTAGACAACAAAACGCTTTCTTCTTGAATGTCTTCATTTGTAATTCGTTCAATCGTATCGATAACGTCCGAATGTCTAGGACGTGATAATAATTTCTGCTAATTGTGTATTCTAATCAGACTATACTTTTAGAAACGTTTCGCACTGTATAGGATTTAAAAAACGCATACTGGGCCGAACGTAAGCTCCATGGGAACATTGTGATGCATAGTTGTTGATTGGAGTTCGTCACCCTTTTCGACGCAGGCGATGCCCAACATATTTCGAGGGTAACGATCGTCTACTCGATCTTCTTTTCAGCTATCACAGCCAGATGATCATGGTAGCGGAGCAGAATTTTATCTTTACGGAGTACAATTTCGATCCGGCACCGTTTGCTAAAAGAAACGCTGTTTTTTTTTTATGGTAAGTCTAGACTCGAATGATTCAACAGTTAAAGTCTAAAAGACGAAGGAAACTGCATTGCGGTTGAGTGCACGTTTGGAGTGCATTGCGTCCTTAATAAAGGGCTACGGAAAAGATGCGTTTAGACTCGACGATCTCGGTTTGTTTCGTTTTTCTAATTCACTCGTAACATACTGTCGATGCCAGCTGCGCTACGTAGAATCACACGAACGACTTCAAGATTTGCCCTTGACGGTAAGCACCCTCTTTGAACGGACGGCGCAAAAAACCTCAATTCTAGCAGAGGTTTTTCGAAATTAAGCAGCATTGTACACCGTGTGTCGAAACTAAGGGTAACTGTCAACCTGAGACGGAACAGCTCGAGGAGCTCGTAGAAGAAGGTTAAACCTGACTCCTTTCTACGAGCTGCTCTTTACTCGGAAATACTGATATATAGTATACCGCTACACGACTATGTTAAAGTGACCTACTTGGCAAGATTCTACATTGGGTCGTCTGCTGTCGAATCAACTACTCCAATAAGTGCTCGGAAAATCCTGCCCTATATTAGAGAACGCGCTCGCTGGGGCGTTTAGCCGTCCAACAGGTGTTTGAAGGTCAGCCTGTTTGACACTTTGCCACATGTGGGTAACTGCCGTCATACAGGGTAAAACGAACCTATTCTCCCATTGGCTTCCAGATTATGCGGTTACTGCTTCAAATGTAGACGTTTTTTTTTCACAACTATAAATTGAGTATTTAATTGTATGCTTGAGTTTTCTCTATTGTAAACCTGGCTTTTCTTTATCCTGCATAAAATGCCGGAACAATTGCCAATATATAGGCTATGAAAAATTATGTGGGCTATATGTTAGTCGATTTTGTGTCTCCTCGCAACCGCACTCGTGAATATCTATTATGGGTTGGAAAACTTATAGTTTATCTATAGTAAAAACATAATTTGACAGGGTCAAGGATTTGTTATCTCTGCTTCTTTACTAGATATGGAAATGATTAGATCCACGGTCCAGATTTAATTTTTAGCTACCATGTACCCCTGGGTTGGTTTCAAAATCTAATAATAGGAAATTTTCATTAAATATATGTTCCTCGACGTATGTTCTATAGCAGCTATTTTTGAACATAAATCTATTTCAGGCTTCATTATCTCGGAGCATCTGTCGACACGTGTATAATGTTTGTGAATTGTAAACATAAACATCAATCAATCACCATGTTCCATTTCTGCTCTATAGACAGCTCTGGTGTTTTTCGCAGCTACCAGCCTCGAAGATCTATCTTCGTCTTTTCTTTTTTGCTTATTTTGAGCGTGGACGGCTGCTTAATACGAACTTCGGCCAAAACGATCGATGCTGAACTTGGTCATTTGGAGACAATTTTTTTTACGAAACCGAGGAGTTTTTAGGCGAGTCGATACAGATATCACCAATACAACCTCTGTCACTTTTGGTTGTTGCCAGAAAAAAGAACTAGGAATATTACTTTTGTACTCGTATGGTTAGTGAAAAGTACAAATTAAAATAATTACATTTTCAAATAAATACTGCATGATCCATTTACAGCACGTGTCTCCTTACGGACTATTGCCATGATCGATATCCGAAAATGCACAAATTTTGAGATATCTTTAGTGAACATGGAAATGATCAACCATATGGGTCCATCAAAGGTGGACACGTCCGTATTTTAGGATCCATTACAAATAATCAATTAATCAGGTCAGAGCCTACGTGTCTATATACCCAGCCCAAGACGGCGCGAGTTTCAGCTCTTATAATCGATATGTAACGACTGCGTGTTCCTTATTGTAACGTTCATATTTTATAGAATTAAGGCCAGACGTGTTCCGCGAACAATAACTAAATCAATTAGGCAATGTCTACTTTTTTTTTTATACGAATCGTTATCGTGCAAACCTTGTGACCGCATGTAGAAGATATTTCTTCTCAAACAGATAGCTGGCTCGATCATTACCGAAATATCAGGTAAGACGGAAATAAAAACGGGCCTTATTTTAAACATATAGGTTTTCCTAGTTTCGGGGGTATGCTGTTCGGGTCAATAATTTTTCCGTGCCTTACATGATTTCTTGAAAATTAAGACTTTGCAGATATTTCAATTAGACCCGGATGCATCAGTGTCTCATAGCAGGAAAACATTTTTACTAGCGTGGTACTGCTGATCTGCCTAAAGCTAAAAAGCATCTAATGACTATCTAAAGAAAGTGAAATTCAGTATTTTCATTTTTCTATTGAAAATTGTAGCGCAGCTTGTTTATTTTTTGCCGATTTTTTTGGCATAGAGTATGACCAGCTGATTTTTAACATAGCAAAACCACATTCTACTGATTCCGATTTAGACAAAATAGGTGATATGACACTTCATCCAACGGTCTGCATTGGCTTCGAAGGCAACAACTTAAAAGGCGCTGTGTTTTACTTGCGAACTTTAACCACTGTAGTCTGAATGATCAGAGGATTGCCGTTATCTTCTGTACGATACATGTAGAACGAAAGTCAGCCCGCTAAGGGAAGTGTGCGTCCGCGGACTTTTACGCCAGCCGATATTCGCTGACTTTGGAACGCTTCCTATTCATTGCTTAACTAAGCACGGTGATACGATGACGGGATACCAGTTTAAAATATGTGACACCTTAAACGATTCGAATGCCACCACCGTACCCGATAGAAGATGCAACATAGGACAAGGGATTTAATGTACATATACATAAATATATATATATATATATATATACACTATTCTATAGTAGAATTGATATATTTAGGATAGGTTATGCAATTTTAAATTATATAGGTACTAAAGTCAAAAATATAAATACTATTAATCGAGTACAAATATCATGATCTGCAATATATTAGGTCCAACTAGGTTTCTTTACAAGAAGCGACTGCCTTTTATCACTGGCGTTTTTCTCGTTCCGGCTTCACAACGCACCGCAACCCATCTTCAACGTATTCCTATTATAAAATATTCTCACTTTTGCTCACGATCTTATTCGAATCCAAGAATCTACCTATCCGGCCCATGATTTACTATTAAGCAGTAATTACTTGATATCGGCACGGTGTAGCGTCACGCTTATTCGAGTTATCGAGAAGCGGAGAACGATCCCGCTATTCATTTTGAACTCATTGATATTGCTCACATATGTATCGTTATGTGTGTGTGTTTGTGTGTGTGTGTCTGTGTATTTTTACTTGTGATTTTCAGCCTGCCTATCTGCCATCACGGATCCATTATGTTAGGTCACCGTAACCAAGGCTTCGAGTCAATGCCACCTCGAGTTTGTCTGTTCGTTATCTGCATGATTGTACCGCTGCTAGTTCAAAGAGCCGAGACGCAATTTCGACCTCGGGGGCCGTTCCTGTCAGAACCCCAATTCGAACAAGGATATTATTCGTTTATAAAGGTATTTGCCTCTTAATTACTCTGTTACTAGTCCTGACATTATACATGCATTTACTGCAGTAGAAGTTCCAGTCTTACAAAGTGTCACCCGCTGAACTCTAATGTTATATCACAATAAAATGTAATCTTTATTATCGTGATTCGTCTAGCGGACGAGCGTGTGGTTCTACGTATTTTGACGTTAACGTTCACGATGTAGTGTTCAGTGTAAACGTCGGTTTCCATTAATTACCTTTTGCAGTCAGCTAGGGAGAACATTATATAAGCTCAGACTACTTCGACTGGTTATCGATGGCTTTACAGACGGTGAATAGCACGTCCTGCTCATTCAGTTATTGTGAAGAGATTCTTAGTCTGCTCACGAGCAGATCGTCTAGTCGTCAATTCATTACTTGGATATATATATATATATACATATATATATTCTCATTTATATTCGCTTGTTCCATTATGCGAACGATAACTTCAACTTATCCGGACACGTTTTTCGCCTGTCTGCCGGAACATCTTTTTGATTTTTAGCAAAACACAATGATAAAGTGTTATGCTAGTTATAGCTGGTTTCTCTTCACGTGTCGACAAGTATCGCAGTAAACGCGTCTTCTATTTAACTTTCGTCAGCAGCAGTGGCTTCTGGTTCCGTGCTTCACTCATTTAACTTATCATGTCGAGGAGCGATCTTCGCCAACTGATGATCGAGTGACGATTGCAAATGTCCTTTTTCCCCTTCGTAATGTTACCCAGAGGTACAACTGTATAGCTGACTCGACCTATTTATGTTTTAGAATTTTGTATTCAGTTAATTTATCGTAATTCAATTAATTTGGTCCTATTAAGTCCATCTCGATATCACAGATTTTGATGTGGTACATCCTTTTTATCAGTAAAAACGCGCATCTCTACTTAGAACTCAATTCGAAAAGTTTTAACACGGGGTATTAAGATTATTGGAAGAAAATAAACTATAATAGATATACGGGAACACTAAAATCTGTTTTTATTCTTCTCCGATAATAATTTTTCTGGAATATATGATAGATATTATTTCATTAACTGCTTTCTATGTTTTACACCGAATTAGCACAGCCACGTGAGTTTCTTATGCCTGATATAACACCACCTTTAATGTACGATACTTTTGTTACTGATAACTTTGCAGGCTAAAGATCACGAGCACCCTCCAAAGGTCCGCAAACCCCCGTACCATCGAGCTAGTTTTCGATGCAGTGAGAGACTTGTTGACGGCAAATTATCTCCTAGAGACACGCTCTGCGGCGATCTTAACAAAGGTGTCATACCCATTAATCCAATGGGTCAACGACCAATCAACGATCCTTATCCCTTGTGAGTCGAGCTATTATATTGTATTTTTTTGCTAACAGACGGCTAAATGAGTGTTATTCTGCACGGAGAATTTCGATATATCTATCCCAGTATGCTAGATAGGTTAACCCGCAAGCACATTGTAGAGATCTTTTCGCGGCTCTGTCTGACATGCCTGATGCTTCGCACCTGATGAGTTACTTGCCTCTGTAGAGTGTTCAAAAAGTCGCTAGAAAACATAGCTTTTGATAACTAAGCCAAAGATCTGTGAGATTTTTTGGTTTGTGGGTCTTTCTTTGGACACTTTTTTTAGCTGACTTCAGAGGTCAGGGTACACAGACCCGTTTTATTATGTTTCGCATATATAGTAGTAGCATCTACCTAGAATGAGGAAAACCTTCTTGTATCAGATATGATCGCGTCGTAGTTCAGAAGGCGAGGCTCGACAGAATATAAAA